TACAGAAACGGAATGCCAATCGGATACACGAAGAGCATAAACGAGGCATAGGCGGTCCAGGCGCCATAGCTTGGTGATTCGCACGAGATATCGTAAGCGCTCTCTAGAATCTTCTCCGTCTTGGTGGAGCCGTCGGACTGTCCCACATCAAACGAGATGCAGTTGTAGTGACGGAGCACTGTCGTCGATACACTCGGAAATACGATGAACGTCAGCAGCAGGAACCACCCAAAGGAGTGATTCCAGATTCCATGAGCACGATCTGGAGCATGAGACAACACGGAGAGCTTGGCGATGACGAAGATCATGATCGTCAGGCCAATAGGAAATAGCGTGACGACCAGGAGCTTGCCATAAAAATTGAATGATGGCTGCAGGCAGGAGATGGGCAGTATCTGTATGATGTTAAGCTCCAAAAATGAAGTCCAAGCGATGAGCGCTTCGAATGCTTTCGGAAACGAGACCGTAGGGATCGTCCAAGGTATGGCATTGATTATCTGGTAGACGCCAAGCACAATCTTGAATTTGGTCTTAAGCGACCGCCTCGTCTCCTCCCGCCGGGCGGCGTCAGAGTCCGCATCGGCAGCATCGTTTTCTCGCTCTCCAGGGTCATTCGGAGTAGTTGTCGTGTTCCGATCATTCTCAGCGAGGTCGCTGTCTTCCTGCTCGGCAGCACCCTCTTCGTTGATAGGAGTTGTCGTGTTCCGATCATTCTCAGCGAGGTCGCCGTCTTCCGACTCGGCAGCACCCTCTTCGTTGATAAGAGTAGTCGTGTTTCGATCATTCTCAGCGAGGTCGCTGTCTTCCTGCTCGGCGGCACCCTCTTCATTACCTGCCTGATTTGCATTGTGGATTCTGTCAATCACGTGATCGAGGGCTGCGTCGTGTATCTCCGCAGCTTTATGCCCACCACCTTTACTCATCGCGACGGCTGCCGCAAACGCGCCCCATCCGCGCAAACGATTCGCTGCGTCCCATCCGCTCAAACGATACGCTGCCACGGCGAAGACTGCGATGAGGACGACGAAGCAGATGCCGCTCGCAATCGTGAGCGCGTCCAGCTTCGTGTCCTTGCATTCAGCGCAGCGGTTCAAAACGACATCGTAGTGGTACTCGTTCTCGCAGACCCGACACGTGACGCCCGTGTGTCCCTTTGCGCACCCGCCATTCTTGCAGGCGCCAGAGTATTTGCAGCGGTAGATGTCGTCCGAGTAGCGCGACCCGCGCCACCAGCCGCTTTCGATCGGGACGTCCGTCAACGTGTTCAGCGTCGCATTCTCGCAGTCCATGCCGCGCGGGCAGTCGAGGCAGCACTGGTCGAAGCACTTGGTGCTGTCAAGCGAACAGCTCGCCTCGAGCGCGGTCGCGTTGCTGCATCGGACAGGTTCTCCCTCGAGCTCGACGTCAAACGGAGAAAAATAGTAGTTCTCCAGGCACGAGTAGCAGCCCGTGGCGCCTTCGGCCAGCGTCGTTGAGAACGGGGGACATTGCCGACAAGAAGACTGACCCCGGGCGGACGCGTACGTTCCCGAGACGCACGGCGAACACTCGCTCGAGCCGCTCCCAGAGCTCGTCCCGACGGGGCAAGGGGTCTGCTCCGAGGCGCCCGTTCCCGGGACGTAAGAGCCAGGGTCGGCAAGCGCGCACGCGGCCGAGCCCTCGGTGTCCGTGTACATCGCGGTGGGGCACGGCTCGCACTCGCCCTCGCCTTCGCCCTTGTAGGTGCCGGGCGGACACGCCTCGCACGCGCTTGCGCCGGTGGAATCGCTGGAGTAGCCCGCGGCACACGACGTGCATGACGAGCTCCCGGCAGAGCTATAGGTCCCGACGTCGCACGCCGTGCACTCGGAGCTCGCCGTCGCCGAGTACGTGCCAGCTGGGCACTCCGCGTCCTCGGAAGCGCCGGCCGCATCCACGAAGCTGCCAGCCGCTGCAAGGACGCACGACGTCGCGCCGTTGGTAGGCGCGTACCTCGCCGTCTCACAGGAGCTGCATTCAGAAGCGCCGGTGCCGGAAAAGCTACCCGACGGGCACTCGATCTCTTCCGTGGCGCCCGAGCTTTGGACGGCTGTCCCCGCGGTCGCTAGCACGCACGACGTCGAACCTTCGGATCCCACGTACGTGCCAGGCGTACATTCGACGCAAGCTTCCGACCCCTGGCCGGCTGTGTATTCTCCGGCGGAGCACTCGAGCTGTTCTGTTGCCCCGGTGGAGGGCACGTACGACCCGGCCTGCGCAAGCGTGCAAGAGGATTGGCCCGGTTCATCCGAGTACGACCCGGCCTCGCAGTCGAGGCACGTAGACGCGCCGCTCTGCGAATAGGTCCCGGCCGGGCACTGAGACTGGCCGTCGGAGGTCTCTTCCTCCGTGAGCTGCTCTGACTCGGTGCTCGCCTCGTCGACCTCATCTATCTGCGCGTCCGTGTCGACAGTCGCGCCGTCGAGGATCGAGCTTGAGAGCGCCCGGGTTGAGGACGGACGCAATCGTCGACGCGCCCCCGTAATAGCCTCCTGCAATTCCCCCGAGGACACCTTCTCGAGAAATGCAGTTTTGAAGTCTTCAAGCAGTTGAGACTCCGCGAGCGTGACGTTCTCCGCAGCCGTCGCCGTGTAATTTGCGACGAGCTGGAACGGTATCACGGTGGCTCCAGTCTCGGTCTCAAAGGCGGGCCCAACGGAGGCGATCATCGCGGAGTCGCTGAGATCGGAGAACATGTCGTCCACAAAGACCGTCTCGAGAGCCTCTTGGAGCTGGAGATTCGCGGCTTCGTCCGCGTTGAGCGCCGCGGCGTCGACTCCTTGCAGCACGAGTGCTGAGTGGGTCGTGATCTCATGAAGCTCGTTGCTTGGTGCGACGTACCCCGCGTCGACCTTCGTGCAGCTGCTGGCTCCTTCGTCGCTTGTCGTGCCCAGAGGGCAGAGCGGACAAAACCTGTAGCCGGCCCCAGAGAAGCGACCGGACGCGCACGTGGACGGTGTGACCGCGCCAAGCGTGGCGACATACTGGCCACCGACCGTCGTCGCACACGTCGCCGCTCCAGACGTGGCGGCATACTGTCCCTTTGCGCAGAGCGTGCACGCTGTCGCGCCGGCTCCCGAGTAAGTGCCGGCTTCGCACGCGATCGGCGCCGAAGCGCCCGTCTCCGAGACGAAGTAGCCAGCGTCCACGAGCGTGCACGCGGTGGCGCCATCGTCGGGAGCGTAGGTGCGTACACCACACGGGGTGCATTCCGACGCCCCCGAGCCGCTGTACTTTCCCGCGGGACAAGCCGTCTCAGCCGTCGCTCCGGCCGAGGGCACGTGGGACCCGGAGTCCGAGAGCTGGCACGACGTCTGCCCCGCCGAGGCTTGGAACATGCCGAAGGAGCAGGACTCGCAGGCCTGGGCGCCCGATCCGGCCGTGTACGTCCCGGCGGGACACGTGCTTTGCTGCGTCGCGCCTTGGTAGCTGACGTACGAGCCGGCGTCCGCAAACAAGCAGCTCGTCTGGCCGGAGACGCTCGTGTAGGACCCCTTGTCGCAGGTAACGCAGTAGGACGCGCCGCTGAGCGAGTAGGTGCCCGCGGGGCATTGCTGCTGGCCGTCGAAGGAAGACGCGCTGAGCTGGAAGTACTCCACGCTGCTCTCGGCGATCACTTCGACGCTCGCGGACGTCGCGACATTCGCAGCCTCGAGAATGCTGCTCGTCGTGGCATCGAGCGCGTCTTGCAACGCGCCATTGTAGACATTGAGCTCGAGCTCGTCTTCGAAATCGGTCTCCACGAGCTCCACGGCGTCGCCGACGTTCTCCGACGCCGCGGCAGAGTAGTTTGCGAATAGGGCGAATCCAATCTCGACGTTGTCGCCGTAGGTCGAAGCAGGACCAACAGATCTGATGAGCACCGAATCTTTATCGACGAGGTCAGAAAAGACGTCCTGCACGAGGACCGTCTCGAGCGACCGCTTGAGCTCGCTCTTCGCCGCGTCGTCGCCGTTGAACTCGTCGGCGTCCACGCTCGCGAGGACAATCGATGAGACGATACTAATCCCGTAGATCTCAGCCGACGGGGCAACGTAGCCAGCGTCGCTCGTGGTGCAGGTCGACGCGCCCGCGTCGCTCGTCGTACCGTCGGGACAGATGGAGCAAAAGCTCGAGCCCGTTCCGGAGTAGCGCCCAGAAGCGCACTGCGAAGGCGCCGTTGCTCCAGGGACGGCAACGTAAGACCCGCCACTCGACAGCGCGCAGCTCGATTGGGCAGATGCCGAAGCGTAGCGCCCCACCTCGCAGGCCGTGCACGCGGACGCGCCCGTCCCCGAATACGCGCCGGCGGGGCACTCGAGCGCTTCGGAGGCGCCCATCTCCGACACATAGTAGCCCACGTCGACCAGCGTGCACGTCGTCGCGCCCTCGGAAGAGGCGTAGGTGGCCACGGCACACAGCTCGCACTCAGTGGCGCCAGATCCGCTGTATTCCCCCGCGGGGCACGCGCTCTGAGCCGAAGCCCCCGTTGTGCTGACGTAGCTGCCTCCGCTCACGAGCGTACACGACGTTTGGCCTTCGTCGGCGACATAGGTACCGGGCGAACACGCCGAACACGCCGACGCGGCGGAGCCGGAGTACTTCCCCGCGGGACACGACGTCTCTTTCGTGGCGCCGCTCGAGCCGACGAACGTGCCCGCGTCCGCGAGCTGACACGAGGTTTGCCCCTCCAGCGACTGGAAGGTCCCGGATCCACACGACGCGCACTCGAACGCGCCCGAGCCGCTGTACTTGCCGGCGGGGCACGGAGTTTCCTCCGAGGCGCCCGACGACGACACGAAGGAGCCCGCGGTCGCCGTCGCGCAGCTCGTGGCGCCGTCTTCGTCGCTGAATGACCCCGGCGCGCAATCGTTGCACTCGGTCGCACCCGATCCGGAATAAGCGCCCGCCGGGCACGGAACTTGCTCGTGAGCGCCCGCTTCGGAAACGTACGAGCCCGCGTCGGCGAGCGAGCACGCGGACTGTCCTTCGTCCGTCGCGAAGAACCCTACGGCGCACTCGACGCAGGACTCGGCTCCACTGCTCGAGTACTTTCCGTCTGGACACGCCGTCTCCGCGCTCGCGCCAGATGTCTCTACGTACGAGCCCGCCGAGACGAGCGCGCAGCTCGTCTGACCTCCGGAAGCGGTGAACGTTCCAGGTTCGCAGTCCGAGCACTCCGACGCGCCCGAGCCACTGTACGTGCCCACCGGACACGGAGTTTGCTGCGAGGCGCCGAACGCGTCGACAAATTGACCGGCGTCGGCGAGCTGGCACGCGGATTGCCCGGTCGCGGCCGTGTAAAAGCCGACCTCGCACTCCGAGCATTCCGACGCGCCCGAGCCGCTGTATTTCCCCGCGGGACAAGCCGTCTCAGCCGTCGCTCCGGCCGAGGGCACGTGGGACCCGGAGTCCGAGAGCTGGCACGACGTCTGCCCCGCCGAGGCTTGGAACGTGCCGACGCCGCAATCCTCGCAGACCTGGGCACCCTGCCCCGCCGTGTACGCTCCCGCCGGGCACGTGCTTTGCTGCGTTGCGCCTTTGGAGCTGACGTACGAGCCGGCGTCCGCGAACAAGCAGCTCGTCTGTCCGGAGACGCTCGTGTAGGACCCCTTGTCGCAGTAGACGCAGTAGGACGCGCCGCTGAGCGAGTAGGTGCCCGCGGGGCATTGCTGCTGGCCATCGCTGGACTCCTCGGAGATCATCTCGTGCTCCGCGGTAGCTGCTTCGACGCTGCTCACTGTGGCTTCCGTGTTCACGGTGGCAGAACTGAGCGCGGAGCTGCTCGAAAGCGAGCGTCGAAGCCGGCGGCCGTTCGATACGGCCAAGTAAATGGCGTAGTTCAGCGTGCCGTCGTTCACGTCCGAAATAAGATCGGACTGGAAGTCGTCGACGATCAGCTGCTTGACTTCCGTGATGTTCTCCGACGCGGCGGCCGAGTAGTTCGCGATTAAGCTGAAGGAGATTTCGGTGCTCCCGCTGACCGTCGATGCTGGGCCAACCGAAGAGATCCGCGCACTCTCGACGAGGTTAGTGAACAGGTTCGTGACGAGAACAAAGTCGAGAGCGGTCGCCAGCTGCCCGTTGGCTACGTCGTCGTCGTTGAAAGCGTCGGCGTCGACGCCGTCGAGCGTCACGGACGACGCGATACTGACCTGATAGACCTCTGGCGCGGGCGCGATGTAGCCCGCGTCGCTCGTCGTACATGAAGACTCACCAGCATCGCTCGTCGTGCCGGTGGGACAGAGGGCACAATAGGACGCTCCCGCTCCAGAGTAGCGCCCGGCGGCGCACGCCGCCGCCGCCGTCGCGCCGACGCTCGCGACGTAAGACCCGCCGTCCGAAAGCGCGCAGCTCGATTGGGCCGATGCCGGAGCGTAGCGACCCTCTTCGCAGTCGGTGCACGCCGAGGCGCCCGAGCCCGAGTAAGAGCCGGAGGGACATTCGGCTTGATTCGACGCGCCCGTCTCGGAGACGTAGTAGCCCGCGTCCACGAGCGAGCACGACGTGGAGCCTTCTTCGAGCGCGTACGTCGACGTCGCGCAGTCATCGCATTCGGTCGCACCCGATCCGCTGTATCGGCCCGCGGGACACGGCGTCTGCGCGGAGGCGCCAGTCTCGTCGACGAAGGACCCGGCGTCGACGAGCGCGCAGCTCGACTGTCCGGTTGCGTCGGCGAACGTCCCGACCGCGCATGCGCTGCACTCGCCCGACCCAGCGCCTTTGTACTTTCCCGCGATGCAGGGAGTGCATTCGATCGCGCCGGTGGAGCTGCTAGAAGTTCCCGCGCCGCAGGACGTGCACGAAGAGCTGCCCTCGGTGCTGTACGTACCGACCTCGCACGTCGCGCACTCCTCCGAGGCTGTCGCCGAGTACGTGCCAGGCGGACACGGCGACGACGACGACGCGCCGGTGCTTCCCACGAAGCTCCCGGCGGCCGCGAGCTTGCAGTCGCTCGAGCCCTCCTCGTCCGCGTACTTGGCCACGGCGCAGTCGACGCACTCGCTCGCGGCGGAGCCGGCGAAGCTTCCCGCGGGGCACGCCGTTGACGACGACGCTCCCGCGCTTCCGACGAAGCTCCCGGCGGCCGCGAGCTTGCAGTCGCTCGAGCCCTCCTCGTCCGCATACTTGGCCACGTCGCAGTCGAGGCACGCGCCGGCGCCCGCGCCCTTGTAGGTCCCGACCGGACACGCCTCGCATGCGTTCGCGCCCTCGGCAGCGCTCGAGTAGCCGCTCGAGCACAGCGTGCACGTGTCGCTGCCCTCGGTGCTGTAGGTGCCGACCTCGCAGGTCGTGCACTCTTCCGAGGCTGTCGCCGAGTAGGTGCCCGCGGGGCACGCCGTTGACGACGACGCTCCCGCGCTTCCGACGAAGCTCCCGGCGGCCGCGAGCTTGCAGTCGCTCGAGCCCTCCTCGTCCGCGTACTTGGCCGCGTCGCAGTCGAGGCACGCGCCGGCGCCCGCGCCCTTGTAGGTCCCAACCGGGCACGCCTCGCATGCGCTCGCGCCCTCGGCAGCGCTCGAGTAGCCGCTCGAGCACAGCGTGCACGTGTCGCTGCCCTCGGCGCTGTACGTCCCGACCTCGCACGTCGCACACTCCTCCGAGGCTGTCGCCGAGTAGGTGCCCGCGGGGCACGCGGTCGACGACGACGCGCCGGTGCTGTCGACGAAGCTGCCCGCCTCGGCGAGCTTGCAGTCGCTCGAGCCCTCCTCGTCCGCGTACTTGGCCGCGTCGCAGTCAAGGCACGCGCCCGCGCCCGTGCCCTTGTACTTGCCGACCGGACACGCCGAGCACGCGCTCGCGCCCTCGGCAGCGCTCGAGTAGCCGCTCGAGCACAGCGTGCACGTGTCGCTGCCCTCGGCGCTGTACGTCCCGACCTCGCAGGTCGTGCACTCGGAGCTCGCCGTCGCCGAGTAGGTCCCCGCGGGGCACGCGGTCGACGACGACGCGCCCGCGCTTCCGACGAAGCTCCCGGCGGCCGCGAGCTTGCAGTCGCTCGAGCCCTCCTCGTCCGCGTACTTGGCCACGTCGCAGTCAAGGCACGCGCCCGCGCCCGCGCCCTTGTAGGTCCCGACCGGACACGCCTCGCATGCGCTCGCGCCCTCGGCAGCGCTCGAGTAGCCGCTCGAGCACAGCGTGCACGTGTCGCTGCCCTCGGCGCTGTACGTCCCGACCTCGCACGTCGCACACTCCTCCGAGGCTGTCGCCGAGTAGGTGCCCGCGGGGCACGCGGTCGACGACGACGCGCCGGTGCTGTCGACGAAGCTGCCCGCCTCGGCGAGCTTGCAGTCGCTCGAGCCCTCCTCGTCCGCGTACTTGGCCGCGGCGCAGTCGATGCACGCGCCCGCGCCCGCGCCCTTGTACTTGCCGACCGGGCACGCCTCGCACTCGCTCGCGCCCTCGGCGTCGCTCGAGTACCCGCTCGAGCACAGGGTGCACGTGTCGCTGCCCTCGGTGCTGTACGTGCCGACCTCGCACGTCGCGCACTCCTCCGAGGCTGTCGCCGAGTACGTGCCGGCGGCGCACGCCGTCGACGACGAGGCGCCCGTGCTGTCGACGAAGCTCCCCGCCTCCGCCAACTTGCAGTCGCTCGAGCCCTCCTCGTCCGCGTACTTGGCCGCGGCGCAGTCGATGCACGCGCCCGCGCCCGCGCCCTTGTACTTGCCGACCGGGCACGCCTCGCACTCGCTCGCGCCCTCGGCGTCGCTCGAGTACCCGCTCGAGCACAGCGTGCACGTGTCGCTGCCCTCGATGCTGTACGTGCCGACCTCGCACGTCGCGCACTCCTCCGAGGCTGTCGCCGAGTACGTGCCCGCGGGGCACGCCGTCGACGACGAGGCGCCCGTGCTGTCGACGAAGCTCCCCGCCTCCGCCAACTTGCAGCTCGACTGGCCCGTCGCGTCCTGGTACGTCCCGGTCGCGCAGTCGTCGCACTCGCTCGCGCCGGAGCCGCTGTACTTGCCCTTATCGCACGCCGTCTGCTCAAAGGCGCCCACCGCGTCGACGAAGGACCCGGCGTCCGCGAGCGCGCAGCTCGACTGGCCCGTCTGGTCCTGGTACGTCCCGGCCTCGCAGTCACCGCACGCGCTCGCGCCGGAGCCGCTGTACTCGCCCGTGTCACACGCGGTCTGCTCAAAGGCGCCCACCGCGTCGACGAAGGACCCGGCGTCCGCGAGCGTGCAGCTCGACTGGCCCGTCTGGTCCTGGTACGTCCCGGCCGCGCAATCGTCGCACGCGCTCGCAGCAGAGCCGGAGAAGCGCCCCGCGGGACAGTCGGCCTGCTCCGAGGCGCCCAGCGCGTCGATGAAGGATCCCGCGTCAGCGAGCTTGCAGCTCGACTGGCCGGCCTCGTCCTGGAACGTCCCGACGGCGCAGCTTGAGCACTCGCTCGCGCCCGGCCCGGAATACGACCCCGCGGAGCAGCTCGTGCACTCGCTCGCGCCCGCGGCCGAGAACTCGCCCGCGGCGCATTTCGTGCACTGGTCGTCGCCCTCGGCCGAAGAAGTGCCGGCCTCACACTCCACGCACTCGGCGACGTTGAAGGAGCCGTCGAAGGACGCGGTCTCGACGGTCCCCGCGGGGCACGTCCCGTCCGTGCAGCCGCTCCCCGAGAAGACGTCGTAGCACGTGCAGACACCGGAACCGGAGATGCCGTCGTCGCAGGAGCCCCGCGACCGGCCGCTCCCGGCGACGCCGCACGTGTCCGTCAGGCGCGGCGCGTTGCGGTCCTCGGAGCCACCTTCCGGGCAGAGCTCGCACGTGGCGCCAAAGTAGCCGGCCTGGCAATCATTGCACTGGTCGCCGGAGTAGCCGCCGAGGCATTGGCAGTAAGCCTCGGAGAAGACGACAGATGTTTGATCGCACAAGCCGTTGGCGCTGCAGGCGGAAGTGCCCATAGTACAATAGCCGTTGACAAATAGGCCGAGGGCGCCGCCATCGCCCACGACGAGGTCGAGGTCGCCGTCGCCGTCGAGGTCGGCGAGCGCGCTGACTGAGATGCCATCGAAGGGGTTGGCGCTGCCGGTGACGGCCGTATAGCTCGGCGACGTCGCGGACCCGACGTTCTCGTAGTAGCCCACGCCCACGACGAGGTCGAGGTCGCCGTCGCCGTCGAGATCGCCGAACGTGGGCTCGTCTAAGCCACCGACGTCGATGCCGTCGAAGGGGTTCGCGGCGCCGGTGACGGCCTCGTAGCTCGGCGACGCCGCGGACCCGACGTTCTCGTAGTAGTAGAGGGTGCCGTAGTAGCCCACGCCGAGGTCGTAGTAGCCCACGACGAGGTCGAGGTCGCCGTCGCCGTCGAGGTCGGCGAGCGCGGGCTTGCTGTAGCCACCGACGTCGATGCCGTCGAAGGGGCTCGCGCTGCCGGTCCTGGCCACGTAGCTCGGCGCCGTCGGGGACCCGACGTTCTCGTAGTAGTAGAGGGTGCCGTCCCGAGCGCCCACGACGAGGTCGAGGTCGCCGTCGTCGTCGAGGTCGGCGAGCGCGGGCGAGCTGCGGGAACCGACGTCGATGCCGTCGAAGGGGCTCGCAGCGCCGGTCCTGGCCTCGTAGCTCGGCGACGCCGCGGACCCGACGTTCTCGTAGTAGTAGAGGGCGCCGTAGTATTCGCCCACGACGAGGTCGAGGTCGCCGTCGCCGTCGAGGTCGGCGAGCGCGGGCGCGCTGTTGGAACCGACGTCGATGCCGTCGAAGACGTCGATGCCGTCGAAGGGGTTCGTACTGCCGGTGACGGCCGCGAAGCTCGGCGACGCCGCGGACCCGACGTTCTCGTAGTAGTTGAGGACGCCCCAGTCGTCGCCCACGACGAGGTCGAGGTCGCCGTCGCCGTCGAGGTCAGCGAGCGCGGGCGTGCTGTACAAACCGACGGCGATGCCGTCGAAGGGGTTCGCGCTGCCGGTCCTGGCCGCGTAGGTCGGCGACGTGGCAGACCCGACGTTCTCGTAGTAGTAGAGGGCGCCGTTCTCTTCGCCCACGACGAGGTCGAGGTCTCCGTCGCCGTCGAGGTCGCTGAGCGCGGGCGTGCTGTTCCAACTGACGTCGATGCCGTCGAAGGGGTTCGCGGTGCCGGTGACGGCCTCGTAGCTCGGCGACGCCGCGGACCCGACGTTCTCGTAGTAGAAGAGGGCGCCGCCGGATTCGCCCACGACGAGGTCGAGGTCGCCGTCGCCGTCGACGTCGGCGAGCGCGGGCGCGCTGTAGTCACCGACGTCGATGCCGTCGAAGGGGCTCGCGCTGCCGGTCCTGGCCACGTAGCTCGGCGCCGTCGGGGACCCGACGTTCTCGTAGTAGAAGAGGGCGCCGTCGCCTTCGCCCACGACGAGGTCGAGGTCGCCGTCGCCGTCGAGGTCGACGAGCGCGGGCGTGCTGACCCAACCGACGTCGATGCCGTCGAAGGGGTTCGCGGTGCCGGTGACGGCCGCGTAGCTCGGCGACGCCGCGGACCCGACGTTCTCGTAGTAGTAGAGGACGCCGTAGTTTTCGCCCACGACGAGGTCGAGGTCGCCGTCGCCGTCGAGGTCGACGAGCGCGGGCGTGCTGACCCAACCGACGTCGATGCCGTCGAAGGGTCCATTTTCGAGCACCTCGACGAAGTAGTGAAAATCTCCCGAACAGCCAGACGAGTCTCGGAGTTGACAAAAGGCAGTCGAGTCGGCGGTCGGCGCTAGTACATAGGGCGTCCGGGTCGGCGCGTGCGTGGCGGTCGGCGCCGGGCTCGGCTGCGGCGTCGGCGAAAGCGCGCCCACCGTCGCGAAGTCGACCACCCAGCACGCCAGCACAAACAAGCAGCCTCTCGCCGCGCCGATCAGCCGCCCTCCGCGGCGCGCCCCGCCGCGGCGCGCCCCGCCGCGGCGCGCCCCGCCGCGCCGCGCCCCGCCGCGGCGCGCCCCGTCGCGCCGCGCGCCGTCGCGGCGCGCCCCGTCGCGGCGCGCCCCGTCGCGCCGCGCGCCGCGCGCCCGGGACGGCCCGGGTCCGCGGCCCGCTGCCCGCGGCTGCGCCGCGCCGGGGCTGCGCATGCTTGGTAGTGTCGGCGGCATTCCCTTTTTCTCGTGCTGCCTCTGTCGCCCCGACTTGATCCTTGACTTTTCATTCGAAAGCTCGGCACAGCAACAAGATTCATGGCTCTCGCCGCCCGCTGTTGTTGCCTTCAGTAACGCGAGAGCCGGCTCGGAGGCTGCGGACCGCAGGTCGACCCGGCCGATGCTGATCCCAGACTTGCGGCCGCGGATCATGTTGGCGACGACAGCCAAAGTTGAACTCCACACCAAGGGCAATCGATAAGCTGCACGAGAGCTGCTGAATGGGCCGCCTCAGCAACAACAAAGCGCCGCGCGCCGCCGGCGCCGACGGCCGACACCGCGCGCATCGAAGCGGCTCTCGCGCGCCAGCGCGCGGCGGCACCCATCCGAGATCCCGGGCTTCGCGCGTACGACGCGTCAGACTCAGGCTTCACCGGCGGCCTGAGTCAAGACCTGATCCGCGTGCGCCGTCGGCTGCCCACGGGCCGCCGACCTAGTCCCACGTTAAAGCACCCATAATAATAATAACCAACCAACCAAGCGGACCGACCCGCGCCACTACCACTGGCAATAGCCCAAAACTAAAAAAACACCGCCCACCTAGAGCTCCCTCAGAAGCCGAAGAAGCTCGACGCGCTCGCGACGTAGGACGAGTAGGACGTGTCGAGGGCCTTGTGGCGCTCGGCGCAGCGGTCGTAGGCGGCGAGCTGGTCCTGGCCCGCGGCCTTGGCGGCCTTGAGCGCGCCCGCGCAGACGGCCGCGGAGTCGCCGAGCGTCGCGGCGTCGAGGTCGTTGCGGAGCTCGATCTGCTCGTGGAGCCGGTCGACGAGCGCGCGCGCGTCGTCGACGACGGCGCTCCGGTTCCCGCCGTCGAGGTCGACGGCCGCGGCCGCGAGCTGGAGCTGCGACTCGAGGTCCTGGATCGCGTGCTCCTTCGCGCCCGCGCGGCTCCGGAGCGCCGCGCGCGCGCGCTTCGCGCCGTAGGTCAGCGCCGACTGGGCTTCCGCGACGCGGCGCGCGTGCTCGAGGTGGTCGTGGGCGCGCGCGATGGCGTCGCGGTCCTCGGACGCGAACGCGGCGTCGACCTCGGCGCGCGCGGACTCGAGCGCGGGCGCGAGGTCCGGCCGGAGCTCCAAAAGCTGCGTCGTGCCGCCGACGAGCGTCGCGAGCCTTTGCTTCTTGACGACGAGGGCCGTCTTCCGCCGCTTGGCCACGGCGACCTCGTTCGACGCGGCCGTCGCGATCTCCTCGAGCGTCGGTAAACTTCCGAAGGGCCGGCCCTCCGCGCGCGTGCCCTCGGCGGCCTGGAGGTCGAGCTCGTCGAGCACCTTGGCCGCGAGCTTCGCCGCGTCGCCGACGGCTAAAAGCCGCTTCCCGCCCGCGTCGGGCGCGTCGTCGTCGTCGTCGCCGTCGCCGTCGTCGGGCGCCGCGCGCGCGTCCGCGCGCGACTGCGCGAAGGCCCGCACGTAGGGCAGCAGCTCGGCGCCCGGCGGGAACGTGCGCACGCAGAGGTAGAGCAGGCGCCAGCCGCGCGTCGCCGA